CAATGCGTTTACTACCCGCCGCCCAAGACGATAGCGAGATCGATGCAACTGACCAGCCGAAAAATTCAAAGGACCAAGGTGATGATCTTGGGAGAGCCCCTCGTGCAGATTTCGAGGATGGTCGACTCTTTGGAACCCCCTCAACTCTGTACGAAGGGATCACCCCTCTCCTCACCAGGTATAGAGACAAAAAGCATTATTGCGACATTACGAAACTACCTAGATCTTTACTAACATCGGCTAAAGAAGTGAGGTTGTTATGCTTGGGGGCGGAAGCAAGCTCTCTGGAACCCCCTGGGCGCTTTGAAGCAGAAACAGACGGGTTGGGGATAAAGATTGCAACCAAGGAAGTGCCATGGCAGGATGTTTGCGACGGGATTACCCCGGAAGGACACGTGGCAATCCGGGAAGAAGATGCTTAGATGATGGCCACGGTGTTCTCCTCGCGATCGGATCATTCATTCATCTCGGCGCCTCCACCCGACTTGACAAAACAGGCGAACACGAAACAGATTGGCGTTCGGATCTGGAACCAACTTTTCGAACTACACGTTCCACAATATGTGCCGGAAGAAATCCACCAGGTGATTGCGGATATTCTAACGGAATACCAAGGAGCAATTAGTGTGTCAGACACTTACATCGGATTGTCGTTAGTAATCCAACATGAAATTCAGACAGGAAATCACTCCCCGATTCATTGTAAACCTTATCGCTATTCCTTGATTGAACGCAAAAAGGCTCTTGAACGAATTTGGGAGTTCGAAGCCAGTGGTTGGATTGAACCCGCTACCGGACCTTGGTCCTTTCCCGTAGTATTAGTGCGGAATAAAAACGGGGCGATTCGCATTTGCATTGATTATCGCAAGCTGAACGAAATCACGATTAAGGATGTGTATCCCCTCCCCCGGATTGATGACTTGTTGGATGCGATTGGGTGCGCTAATTATTTCAGCAAGTTTGATATTCGGCATGGCTTCCATCATATTCTAGTAAGGGAAGAAGATCGACCGAAAATGGCCTTTGTGTTGTTTGAGGGCACGTGGCAGTGGGTTCAGTGTCCGATGGGGATTTGCAATGCGCTTGCCACATTTCAGCGAGCGATGAACATGACGTTCCAGAACTTTGTCAACAAGACACGGCGGACGCAAGGGATGATCAACTTCTGCGTGATCGTGTACATGGACGACATCCTGGTCTACTCGGAAACCTATCACGGGCACGCGCAACACATCGAATGGATATTGGGTGCATTGAGAGACGCGGGGTTCAAAATTGCGCTTGAGAAGAGCGAATTTTTCCTCTCGGAAATTTCGTTCTTGGGCTATGTCGTGACACGTGGAGGACTGCGGCCAGACTCGAGAAAAGTTGCGGCGGTAAGGGAAGCTCCGCTCCCACGTCACTGACGCAGGTTCGAGCCTTCTTGGGACTAGCGTCGTATTACCGGCGCTTCATCAAGGGTTTTGCCGTGATTGCACGACCACTAATGAATCTGTTACGGAAGGACCAACCTCTCAGCTGGGACGCGGAGTGCCAGCAGGCTTTTGCAACTCTCAAGGACGCTCTGGCAACGGCCCCTATTTTGATTCGGTCGGACCCCTCGAACCAGTTCATCCTCACCACGGACTGGCAGCCGGAAGCTATTTCTGCTATTTTAGCCCAGAAGGGGAACGCTGGTCGAGAACACGTCATCGAGTACGCATCTCGAACCGTACCGGACGAATGAAGAAACGACTCCGCACCTCAAGGCGAGTGCTATGCGGTAGTTTGGGGAATCCATCACTTCCATCCGTATCTTTACGGACAGAAGTTTCGCCTCGTAATGGATCACGAGCCTCTGCTGGCGTTGAAGAAGCTCACTAACTACACGGGCATGATTGGTCGTTGGGCGGTGCGATTGCAAGAATACGACTTCGATATCGTCCATCGAAAGACCGAGCGACACGGCAACGCGGACGGGCTGACACGTCTGCAGCGACCTGCTAAGGTACCAAGGGGCGAGGAAATTACACCGTGGAAAGAGCCAGACCCGACTAACGAGCCGAAGTACGGACAAGTGGAAGTTCTCCCACGTGGCAAGAAGCGAATCGGTGGCGATGGGTGACGAAGGTAACCCCACTACCCCTCTCTCCCCCCCTTCCTCGTCGTCTCTCCTCTCCCTGCCTGACAAATTTTGCTACTTCTGCGAAGCCATCTTCCGCGTGTACTCGGTCTCCACGTGTCCTAACGGGGAGGGGTATGCGGAATGGATAGATTGCCGACAGTGTGTCGCATGAGCCCATGGCTCGTGCATCCAATACAGAAACAATAGTAGATCATGGTTGTGCCCCTTGTGCCGGACCGATAAGATTCCTACCGAGGCTCGATTTTTGGATGCCACGTCAGAAGGATTGGAAAAGACCCGAAAGTTTAGAAGGGCCGAAGTATGGACGAATATTGCCTTAATTGCAACCCTAGTAGGTAACCCCCTCCAGGATTTCACCAAAGAAGATCGGAGGAGGGCCGACGAAAGGGCTCGGGATTATCGATGGGTAGAGGGTAGATTACAAAAACCTGAAAACGGACGGCAGTGGGATTTGGATGGTAGTGCCGCATCCGTTCGTGCGGTATGACTGGGTTAAGACCGCCCACGAGGAAATTGCGGCCCATTTTGCCGTACGGATCACGGAGTCCGCTATCGACAAAAATGAGTGGTACTGGTCCAATATCCGCGACGATGTAAAATACATTGTCGCCAACTGTCAAGTCTGCGCCGCTGACAAGGCGTCGATTCAGCCGCCAAGATCGATAGTGCCCACAGTTGTTGAACGACCATTTCAAAGAGTGAGCATGGATACTACCGACATATGCTGCCCCTTGGCCCAAATAGTTATGAATATTCAGTCCTATTGGTATTTGTCGACCATTTCTCGAAATGGATCGAAGCGTATTCTTGTCGCACGCGGCAAGCCACGGAAATCGCGCGATATGTCAACCGTTTCCTCGGGATGCATCAGGATACGAAAGAGATCCTGACCGATAACGGGGCTGAATTCAGAGGAGAAGTGTTAAAGAATCTGGTCATACATGGCGTCGCCATACGGAACACTGCACCCCACATGTCACAATCCAATGGGTTGGTTGAAAACGCTAACCGGGTGATAAAGACAGCATTGCGACGAAACATCGTGGCACGAGATCCGAGGCCCTGGCCCTATCTCGTCGATCACATCCTGGCGGTCCATCGCGGAACGCCCCACGAATCGACGGGGGTAAGCCCCTTCCAATTAAGGACCAATAGCGTCGCTTGCGTTTCAATACCAAGCCTCCTCGACGAGTCTACATTGAACCGACGGCCCACCAGGGCCACGGCTAGGGACAAGGCCAAACGACACCTAGAGCTAATGGAACGGTCACTGCCCAGGCTAGCCCGAAAACGACAGAAAATGACCGAACTAGCCCAAGGCCGACAGGTCCGAAGTTACGAGGCCCGGAATGGGAATGCGGGTCCGCGGCCCCAGTACAAATTGGGGGACGTGGTGCAGGTGAGGAAATATGCTCGCCAGGGTAAGCCAGCGCCACGATTCTTCGAGCGATATCGCGTGATCGAGCTCGGCCGCAACGGCGTGGACACTGTGCGCCTCGCCCTTCAAGTCCCTGGCAGTCGATTGGCTCGTCCGATCACACGCCACGTGTCCTATCTTCGCCTCCTTCCCTCTACTCCATCTCCCTCTCCCTCGATCTCTTTTTCTGAGGAAGCCGGCGACGACGGCTCGGACTCTCCGCCATCCCCCTCCCTTTCTCGCTCCCTCTCTGCCTCCCCATCACCATCGCCATCGCCATGAGTTTTTTGGAGGAGAGAGCCCTCAGCGAAGCAGCGCTTGCGCCCCGTGATCGATTGACGATCCGACAGGTCTATCATCCCCACCTCAGTCCAGATCTTCGGCGGCTTGCGCACTTTTTCTGTACAGAAGGCGTGGATGCAGCGGCGGTGTTCAGAATCGAGGGCCGGCCCAATGCAGTAATGCTGGCCGAGGCCGTAGCAGTTCATCAGCGAGCGGTGCCAGGTGTCAGCCGCATATCGGTCGTCATCAACTTCCGTGCCGATCTCTCCACGCTCCTCCCTTTACGACGTTCGGCGGTGAGGACATCGCTGCGCGCGTGGGCAAACGATCTGGTCGCCGAGTGGACCCAGCTTCTGGCTCATCCCGGGGACACGGTCGCGGCGACAGGAGCAATCGAATACGACGGCCTTCGGATGTACTAGCGTGATCCGCCGGCGGTTCTCCCTGTAGTTGTTCCCTTCCCTCACCCCCAATGAGTCTCTCTCCGATCTCCGTATTTGATCTCCCCTCCACCTTCTCCACGTTCTGGCAGTCCGATATCCATCCTTGCCTTTCCTACTCTCTAACGACCCTTGCAGTCCCCGACATTCATCCCCCACACTGGGAACTGTGGCGCGAAGAGTTTATCGAGCTTTCCCTGTGCTTGGTCGAAGTACGGCTGACGTGGACCGAGGGCGAAGCGCACCCGCCTTGCATAGAGCGATTGGAGTTGTTGTTTATCCAGGCCTGGCGCACCAACGTGGAGGGAGAGCTCCTCGCGTTCCTATTCGGTACAGTACGGTGTGGCCATCAGGAACTTATCACGCGAGAACTCACGATTCCGATAGCGCAGCTGGCGGACGATCTCCCTCTTGACATCATCTCGCAGGACGACGAGCACCCGATTCCTCACGTGCTTTCTCGCACGTTGACGCCGTATCTCCAGTGATCGGCTTGTGTGGAAGGAGCCGCAGAGCGCATTTCGCCGTCACAGCAGCAGTATTTGGATCCCCGGACGGCTCGCAATCCTGCTTTCTTCAGGCATCCAACGGCAGAGCAGCTTGCTGCCATTCGAGAGGAGGAAGAAAGCACTGAGAACGACGAAGGAGAAGACGAACGGGAAGAAAGTGGGGAAGGCGACGAAGTATTCGGGGAAGAAGACGAAACCCCTGAAGAAGGAAGCTACATCGAGCATAGCGAGGGGGAGCCAAGAGAAGAAGAAGAAGAAGACGACGAAGGAGAAGAAGGGCACGAGGAAGAATCCGCTAGATCGGAGTGGGAAGCCGTGCCAGAAGAAGCGCTGCGCACAGGAACAGAGGCGGAAGATCCCGAGGCAGCCCGTAAAAGAGAAGAGATCGCGGCTGGGAAGACGGAGTTTGAACTCGCAAGTGCGGCGAGTCTGTAGATCTGCAATGACCCAAACCGAGATCCGGAGCCGCCCCGACCTGAAGATGGCAACCTCGTGGCCACGACTCCGGCCCCATCGGCACGGCGACGAAGCCGATCCCCCTCCTCCCCAACCCATCCCCCAGTTCGCCGACGTACCGATACGGGCGATCGGTCTTCGTCGCCGTCCCCTTGACTACTTCACCCTTCGCCAGCTCACCACCCCCGTCACGTTCCCCTCCAATTCGTTCCCCCGCAGTACCTTCCGCCACTTCTACGCCGCTCGCCTCGCTATCGTTGTGCATCCCCATCCCTCCCTCCGGTGCGTCGTCCCGGCCTTTTGCCTCCATGTCTTGCTTTTCAATGCCGCGTGGCGAGGCCACAATATGATTGAGGTTTATTGCCTGATAACGGGGACCATCCCCACATGCGAAGATCGCGATCGATTTCGCGCGGCGCTCTTCCGAACCTTTACCACCCTCTACCCCGACTATCTCGCGTTCCTCCCTCTCACTGGCAATTGATTCCCCTGTTTCCATCGCATTGTTCGTTACCAGGAACTCCCGGAGACTGTATCTGGAATGGAAAGTCTCCTGCCCCTGCTGCCCATAAACCCTCCACCCCGCCATGCTGCCATGTATCGACTTCCCTTCCCCCTCCCCGTTAATTACTGATGCAGCCGGTAATGGACTCGTGTCGTGGCGACGGCACGAGAAAGATCCCGTCCTTGAATCGTCGAAGAGCCCAATCTAAGGAACTAGTAGAAGAGCAGAGTTGCCACGTTGGATGACGTCCACACGCAATCGAACGGTAAGAGGCATACACAGAATTGCTCTGCGTGTCGATCGATTAGAGAAATCGACACGTGTCAACAAGCAAGCAGGAGCTTGCTAAGCTGTGACGAACCACTTTCTGTAATGCGCGATTTTCTGCGCGGTTGCAACAAGGGGTCCTAAGCTGGGAAGATTGGGCCACTTTCGGGAAATCGGGATCGGAGGAAAATTGCATCAGTGCCCTTGCTTCTTCGTATTTTTCGTCGCTTCTTCGGGGCTGGGTGTGTTCGGGGACGGCCGGTTGGGAGATTGGTCGGATGGATGTTTGGCGCGCCACTACGCGAGCGATTAGAAAATGTTGACGTCGCTTCTTTCGTTTCACGTTCGATCTTTTGGGCGTGGACATCGCGCGGGAAATTGCTTCGTTCTTTTGAATTTTCTTTTGAATCTTTTTCGAATTTTGTCAAGCCCCGATAGCTCTCGGAATTTTGGACCTTCCTTCTTGAATGAATGCTTTTTGCTTTTCCGCATTAGATAAGAATTTAGGAATTCAGTAATGAGGACTTTTTCTGTCGCGCTGCGCCTTTTGTCTACACGCTTTTTCATGCGGCTCCAATGGTACTCTGATTAGTGGGCGCCCTTAATCGTGTGTGTAACTACAATTTTGGGCGGGTGCCATTGTAACTGTATCTTTCTTCTTGCACTTCGTCTCTCACGCTCTCCCTCTCTTTCTTTTTGCTGTGAGTCGCGACTTGCATGCTCGGATCGATGCGTGGAGAAGGGTTACGTCCCCCACGCCGCGGTCGATCATGCAGAACGCAGGCGCTCCCGCCCTACTGGTAATTCTGTGTTCCTTGTGCATGCATGCACGCTATAAATCTCGGCTGAGCGATTAGTCAACTCTCTGGACCCGTTGTTGGAAGCTCGAGGTTGCGCGATCAAGAAGGATCGGCACACGAGCGAAGTAAGAGGTGACTAGAGTAGGAGTTGGGGGACCCGACGGGCTGGTGCCGAACGCGCGGGATTGACGTTGGCCATGACGGACTGTGACATGGGCGAAACCGACGGGTGCGGGAGGACTAAGCAGGGGTGACAACTTCGTGGGTTGGTGCGCGACGACGGACTGTCCGCATTGGAGAGAGAGAGGGAAGGAGAGAGTTGAGGTCGATGGACGTGAATTTGCTGTTTCTTTATCTCTTCCCCCTCTTCGTCTGTGTACATACATTTTGATTGCGGCTCCGGGCGGTTGCCCGTTCTTATTTTCGTTTCGGCTTCCCGAAAATTGGGGCCTGTTTCTTTTTTCACACTTGTCTTTGCGATGTCCGTCCCGATTGCCTTATGTATATGACTGTCGGATGTATGGATGTATGGGTGTTATGTCTGCCTGTCTATCTGTTTGCTGAGAATCCCTATCCTTGCCATTTGTTAAAAAGATAAAGAAAAAGAAACATTCACAACCAGACAACAGTTAGAAAAAAACAGGTGGGCTTATGACTAGGATCAAGTGTAGTATTTGTTCTGATCAGTTTGATATCTGAATTTGAAGACAGATAGCAACTAAAAAAAATAAGTCTTATTAAATATTAAAAGTTTTTGAAAGTTTTGAAATTCATTATTGTTAAAGCAGTGACATCCACAGTCTGAAAAAAAAAAAAAGGGGGGGTAAAATCATCATCCCATCCACAAGATTAGACTAGGCTTAGACTAGGCTTAATTGAAGGGAGTCTTACCTGATGGGACTAGCGGAGGGTTTCCTGTGCTAAATTCCATCATGGACGACTACCCGATGTAAGGGTTGTTTGCCCTTTCTGTTCTGATGGGCCCCTTGTTCATAATTTTCTTTCCCCTGGGCTTTGGGAGAGTATGTACCTCATGTATGATGACCAGATCAGGTGTTGTGAAGCCTGGGTTATCGGCTGCAGAGCAGGCTGAAGTAGATCGCCGTCTGGCCGAAAAGAAAAAGGAGAAAGAAGAAAGAAGAAAGAAAAGGACAGAAAAAAGAAGAGATAAAGAAGAAACTGCAAATGGAAGAAGACAGAAAGAAATGAAAGAAAAGTTAGAGAAAGAGTTGAAAGAAGAACTGCAGACAATAGAGGAAGAAGATGAGCCTGCCAATGACAGGCTCATCAGGTGGCGGGCAGAAAAACGTGAGACTAGCCAGACAGGTGGTGAACTTGATGTCAAACCGCTGGACTGGTACGGCGAGTATGCATACTCCAGCGATAGGATTGAGGAAACAGAGAAAGAGATAGATCTGTTCGTTGCGAAACTGACCTCTATCAAAGATCAAAAGGAAAAAGAACTCTTACTAGAGGAAAAGTGTGCAGAACTGCATATAAGAATGTTAGCAGCAAAGCGGCAGAAGCTTGATGAAAGAAAAAGGCTGCAAGCAGAGGGAACGAGGCTGCATAAAGAACTGCAAGATCAGAAAGAGAAATAGGCTGCAAAAGAAGAGAAATAAGCCCTCTTGACAGAAACAGTCTTACATACGAAGCAAGAGTTGGAAGCAATTAATATAACTCTGCAAAAGGTTGAAACCCACCAATATGAGTTTGAAGGAGTCTGGAACACCTTTCTGCAGAAGTCTGCCAGAGATGTTGATCAACATATTCAATTGTACATTCAGAAACTCGATAACCATATCACACAAACCTTTACTTCCGCCGTAATTGATGAGATAATCCGAGGCAGCGGCGCAGGAGGAGGAGGAGGAGGAGGAGGAGGTGGAGATGGAGACGGAGACGGAGATGGAGGAGATGGTGACAGGAAAGGAAAGGAGGTGCTGCAAGACGATAAAGACACTAATGTTCGAAAAATAAAGGTTACAGTGTCGTGGACCTACACTGGCAAGAAAGAGGAGAGTCGGCTGTAGAATCCTACGTATACGGTCAGCGCATACCTTACTGGATAGAGTTCTGATGGCCCACTTCGTGCATGGCCGGCGATGCGATGAGCTTCGTCATATCGTTGCAATAGAAAATTAACTGCGATACTATGATTGCATATTCACAGCAAACCAGAATTGAAGACTTCTTTAAAGTTGTCAAAGAACAGTTTGAAGATAAGAATCTAGCTCGCCGAACAGAAATGCTAATTTTAAATATCGCAGATCGAAAATGGAAGAGTGTGTCTGCACTCAAGACAACGATGGATAAACTTTTGCAATGCGCAGAACATGGACTAACTCCTACTAAAATCCTCAACAACTTCGCAAGGGTACTTCCTGACCCTCTCCGTACTCAGCTTTATCCCCGCACAAAGGAAGAGGGAATGACATGCGAGAAGTTCAGCAAGATCGCCATAGATCATGCTGGTTTCTTGGCTGAAGCTAATTACTGTCATTATTGGAAAGATCTGCAAGCGGGAAAGAAGTGGCAGAACCGCACAATCTCAGGGAACATACCTGGGAAAAACAACCTCCTTCTGACCTTTGAAGAAGGAGGTGTCGAAACTTTTTCCTATGACCAAATAGATTATGGTCTGGAGGGAGGACCCAACGGCACGGTAGTTCGGGAGGGGGACTACGCAGCCGTTGCAGCCCGCGGGGGAGGGCGCCAAGGAAGAGGACGTGGTCGAGGAAGAGGAGGTCGCGGACGCCGTGGAAGAGGACCCGGTACCCAGAGGGGTGGTGGCGAAGGTAGCTACTACGTGGGTGGAAAGGGCAATGGTCCCTCACAAGGTGGGCGTGGTTCATATTCTACCTGGGGAAGAGGAAGAGGCGCGTAGTATGGTACATGGGACAAACCATATCCACCCCATCCAGCATTGCCCGAAGGGGAGCCTTGGAAAAACTGGGAATCACTGAGAAAGTTTGGCAGGAAARAAAAACCGCCGATCAGTGCCTCAAATGTGGTGACCCCAACCACATTGTTCCCTACTGCCCAGATTATAAGATACTAAAAGGGAACAACCTGTAGAGGTCTCAGTTGCCTCTACGGGAACTTCGGATGTAGAAAGAAAGACATTCTCCCATCCGAAGGTTCCGCTGGCAGAGACTAAAGAGGAAGACAGTCCCCACCTAGTTAACTATCCAGAGGTAATAAGTGTGTGTACCTCTCTAGGTGGATCCCTCGCTGGCATGGGTGATGAGTTGGCCGCTCGTCGCCAAGCGTGGACTAAGATGAAGAAACGAAGAGGATAGTTGATAATTGCAGATCTTAAGGTGAATAAAGTAAGAGTTGGACGAATGATAGATAGTGGATCGACTCGCAGCTATATAAGTAAGAAAGGGTTGAAGAAGTCGCGTCTCGAGCTAAAGGTTAAGCAGTTAGATGAGCCCGTAATGAGTAAGTTAGCTAATAGTACTATAACTATAATGGATAGATTATGTTGAAGCGTTCAGGATATACTTCCGGCTCGAAGTAGAGGGGAAGATGGAACGCGTTCTCCACTCTCTGACTCTCTTGGTGGAAGATGATCTTCCTTTTGACATTCTTTTAGGTATGGATTGGGGTGAAGCTGCAGATGCAGACATAAAGTTAAGGGACCATGAGTGTTGGCTTCCAAGTCCGCAAGGTGGAAAAAAGAAAATCTGCTTGTTTCATGAATCAGGGAAAGAAAGCAGTTTGGCTTATTGTTGTATGAGTGCCCCCGTGTTCGCCCGCCATGTAAGGGAATATAATCTATACGATCAAGTGTTTGTTGCATATGTGCGCCCAATTAAAGAGGGTGAAATTAGGGAAGAGGCTAAACCCCCAGAAGTTGAAAGGGTTATAAAAGAATTCGCAGATGTGGCAGAGACCCCATGCGATGTAGTTGAGAGGCCTATTAAACATCGCATTGAGATCATCCAAGGGAGTCAAATTCCTAAAGGGCCTATCTATAGAATGTCACTGAAAGAGTTAGATGAACTGCGAACCTAGCTTGATGAATTGTTGGAGAAGTGGTGGATGAGACCTAGCTCTTCGCCCTATGGTGCGCCAGTGTTTTTTGTGCCAAAGAAAGATGGCGGGG